CCCGGGCTCTCAAGCAATATATGATTAGGGTTGAGGCTAAAATAATTGGTACGAAATTTCCTCCATCCACAATGATAGAGGCCCGTGATTAACAACCCCCCGCCCCTAGTAGGGATTATAATAGGGGTCCTTATCTTAAGGCCCTTAAAAAGGAGGGGGCTTATTAATCATGGGTTTACATTAATGTAACCCTAAACCCCAAATAGTCGTTTCCATTTTCTTTTCCATTATCCCTATATGACCCCAATACTACCCCATTAAATCCCAACCCTAAACCCTAAACCCTGAACCCTAAACCCTAATACCTAAACCCTGAACTGTGTGGTCTACATTACCAAACGGAGGTGTTGCTGTGCCTGCTCATCGCGCTGGGGCGACAGGGTGTCAGGCAGAGGAACACGGCTCGACCTAAGGTTTAGGGTTTAGGGTTTAGGGGTTTAGGGTTTTGGGGTTTAGGGTTTAGGGCTTAGGGTACTTCGAATGAAAAGGGGGCTCGGTGAGTATGGGGTTTGGGGTCTGGAGTTTCGGGTTTGGGATTTAGGCTTAAGATTTTTTTCGGTTTTAGGGTTGAAGATTCGGGCCTCTAGATTTAGGGTGTAGGGTCTAGGGTCAGGGGGCCTTAGTGCAAATGTATAACCACTGTACGCCATGTGACGTAAAGCCCAGAATGTCTGCAGGATTAATGTGCTCACTAAGTCCCCCTGACCCTCCAAGCAGGGGGTAGGGGCAGGGTGTGTAGGGTGTCTATGGTTTGGGGCTTAGGGTTCAACATGAGTTTACGATAATGTAACCCTAAACCCCAAATAGTAGTTTCAATTTTCTTTTTCATTATCCCTATATAACCCCAATAATACCCATTAATTAGGGGGTCTACATTACCTTAACTGCTGGTTTTGGATCTGAGCTTTGAGGTGCAGGGCCAAGGTTTGGGAACATCGGGGGCTGCTTGTTTTGCACTCTGTCTTCGGCTCTAAGCACCCTTAGTATAACACACCTCCATCTCTCAACTTCCTACCATATTAAAAAGCATCGTGTCATCACGGTGATGGGAATATCTCTTCCTCTCTTCCTGGTGGGGGAGGGGGGGGGGTTCTTAAAAGCAGGTGGAAAATAAGTAGGAACTCCAGGTTATGCCATGGTTTGTGGTTTAGGCAAGTTTAGGGTTAGTTGTAACTTCAGTCCTTCCTTCTTCAGCGTATGGAGAGAACTCAAATCTGACAGGCGCCCACAAAGAATAGGATGTAGGGTTTAGGATTTAGGGTTTAGTGTCTGCAGTGGCAACAAGAGCGCAATACCGCGGACACCAAAACCTGCTTGACTTCAGTGTAGCCCTAAACCCCAAGCAGCTAAACCCTAAACCTAAACCCTATAAACCCTTACCCATAAGCCCTCAAGCCTAGGAATTGCTTATAAGAAATCGCCAAAGTCAACAGCCTCCAAGATCCCATTGCGGGAGTTGTCTACAGCAAAAGCTGTGTGTTCTCTATGTGGCCCTTACCAGGTTACTCACTAATTAGACGTTATGCCCTAAACCCCTGAAATCTTAAACCCCTAAACCACAACCCCTAAAACCCCTAGAGCCTTGAACCCTAAACCCTAAACCCTTAAACCCCAAACCCTTGAAATCCCAAACCCTGCTCCCCACTTGGCATAGCCAAGGACACAGGTTAGGTTTTTGACCTAGGGTAAACAGAATCAAAGAGTACTCTAAAAGGAGCCCTAGGAGGGTAAGTGCTCTTTGATTTCTTGGGTTTATATCCCTATTATGGTCAAAAAATCCTAACCTACCCTAAGCCCTAAACCCTAAACCCTAAACCCTAAACCCTAAATACCCTGGAGCTCAGCTCTGGTCATGAAATCCTGACCAGGCCAAGGACACCTCTTTTAACTGCAGGCTCGCACCCCATCCGTCACCTGCCCTTCTTGGAGCTTCGTGGGCTTTGGGGTTTGGGGTTTGGGGTTTAGGGTTTAGGGTTGGATTCAGGGTTTAGGTTCAGGGGAACTTATACCTTATAACTGGGCCGGGGCAATCTAGAACTACTTTTAACTGAGGTAACCTATGTAGGTCCAGTTAGGGGGACTACAAGCCCGACTATATGTAGGAATCACGCCTCACGAAGCTCCAAGTTCTTACGTCGCCAGGAGGCTTCGTGGGAGCTTCTGAACTCTTCTTTTGATGGATTGGTGGTGCAGCATTGTTAGTAGGCTAGGGTTAGGTTCTGGGTTCAGGGTTTGGTTGGTGGTGCAGCATTCATTTTTTGCAGACTAGGATTTAGTGTGCGGTTAGTGGCGCAGCTTTCTTAGTAGACCAGGGTTTAGGTTTCAGGGTTTAGGGTGTGGGTGGTGGTGCAGCATTCTGCGTCCTTTCAGCAGACGAGGCATCCACAGATGTGCAGATGACTCTTGTCTATCTAGCCTTTCACGACTCGAGAACTGTCTTACCTGAATCTCAACTGGACAATACTAAGATCATTTTATCTTGTTGGGGTATGTATGGGTGCCATATCATCACCACAAAAATGATCCCGTGTTGCTCGTAGGGTAGGAGCCCGTCCCCTGAACCCTTCTAAGGTAGAAACCGTGGGCCCCTAGTATGGGCCCTTGGCCCTGGGATCCTTATATACCTACTATTTGCCTCATCTGTAGCCTTAAGGGTCCCTAGAATCCACCTAAAAGGCCTAAGGGCCCATAGTATGAGCCCATACTTCGAAGCTTAGAACCCTAGAAGCCCAGTTTTCAGAAGCCCCCGATGTCACTTTGATCCCAGTTCTCGCATGGATCCGGCGGTGCAGTATAATTTACAGTCCCCCTTAAATGGATAGGTTAGCGGTTAGCGTTACGAGTCGTAGGGTTTAGGGTTTAGGGTTTAGGGTCTGGGGTTTAGGGTCCGCTTAAGTAGATACAATATGGCTTTGGGCTATTACAAGAAGATCCTCATATACCGCATATTTTATGTACTAAAGGGGGACTATATCCCCTCCCCGAGGAGGTTGTAAGGTATATGGAGGGAATCCTCCACCACTTCGGGGCCCCTAAATCACCGCAATTCGAAATCCTTGACCTATGCAGGATCTTCGTATCGTTTAAGCGTATTCCTCAAGTAAGGGTTACTGGGCAGCCTTGGTAAGGGATTCGGGTTTACGGAGTTTACGGCGTGTGGTTCTGGGGTGTGGGGGTTTGGCCTACTTACAAGGGATCCTGGGGGATATGAAGGGCTTTGGGTTTCAGAGTTTAGGGTTTACGGTTTAGGGTCTAGGGATTGAAGGACTAAAGCTCAGTCTTGCCGACTACGTTTCCAAGCGAGGGCAAAGGGACCATGACCATAAGGAGCTAGTCCTGGATCAATACCACTGAGCATCACAAGCCGCTAACATAATCTGACATTCAACACATTACGACCCTCTGAGACGCTAAACCCTAAACACTATAACCTAAACCCCAAACCCCTACTCTTACAAGTTAAGTATGCTGTCGCCCTACAAAGTCTACACACATGGGCATTCATGAGATATGGATGCCGTGACATAAAGGGGCGTTGGCGCAAAGGCCCGTAAAACCGAAACCCACAGTTTCTCTTACTGCTTCTTAGTAGGGAATAAGGAATATAATCCGTGTATGATCCCTATAGAATGCAGTCCCTTCTTCCAACAAAACAAAACCACCAATAAACATTTTTCCAAGTTCACCTCGGGAGAATCCTGCCAGCAGCTTGTGTTAGGCCAGTGGTGGGTAGACCGCTGCACGATCCCGACCTCCACACCTGTACACAGACCTATAGACCATGCACCCTAAACCGAAACCCAGGCCCTACAGCGACGCCCACATAGACAACAAGGTTCTCCGCGTAAGGGGTTCTACAACTACTGCGGATGTCCGCTGAAGCCTACACCCTAAACCCTAAACCACTCACTAGAAGACTCAGTTGGTCTTTTTTGCCAGAGGAGACGGGGCATACTATTGTAACCCGGCTCCCCTGCAGGTTTTGGGGTTCAGGGTTTAGGATCTAGCATCGGCAATGGTCAGAAGGTAAAAATCCCAGGGCAAGTCTGCAAACCTGCCGGATCTCCATTTCGGGGATCTATGGGGTCATAGGATGTTGTAGGGGTAGCAGAATGATGCCTTGGGCCTGGGGTTTGGGGAATTGGGGCTTAGGGTCTAGACCTAGGCATGAGGCAAGAAAACAATGCTGCCAAAGGGTGGGGAGGGAGTGAGCCTCTCCAACCAAAACACCCACCAACAGTCAATGTCACAGAGATTGTCAAGCCAGCCGAAAGAAGTTTAGGGTTTAGGGTCTATAGGGCTTACCTGGACCCCCAAAAGTATGTAGAACAATTGCCCTTTGGGCTATATTTAGGTGTTTTGGGCTATTATGTTACCTACTTTTGGGGTCCAGGTAGGGCTTATGGCAGTTCAGAAAGAAAGTTTACCCGAGAAAAACAATTTGGTGACAGGTGTCTGCCTCGAACAATCTCAGAAACCCGTACTGCCCCCACATCTTTAGGGTTTACCTAGACCCTCCAATGTAGTTCCTTTTTGGGTTTGCTATGGTTTTTTGGTTAGGATGCTTATTAGGACTACCAAAAAGGTACTACATTGGAGGGCCTAGGTAGGGTTTAGGGTTCAGGGGTTGGTCCCGAAAAGCCACCGGCTTTGAGAAATAACGCCAAAAAGACCTGGCACACCACCTATCCTAGACTCTACTCAACACTAGCCGTTAAGCCTAGGCCCGAGCCCAAACCTTAAACCTTAATTCCTAAACCTTAGAGCCCTCAAACCCTAAACCACCAAAAAACAACTAGAAAACGCACAAGCACACTGAGCAGTAGTCGGATCGACATCCGGCTCCGAAGCTCTTCATTTGCTACTTGCAGGATTTTAGGGTTTAGGGTTCAGGTGTTTTCGGGTTGGGCCCCCGGCTTGCATATAGCCATTTTTTTGGTGCATAGCTGAAATTTACGGGACGTGTAACCATGCTTATCCTCAGTATGAGCCACTTACAGCCCAACCTATGATTAGGGCACCCCTCGCTGTTGCGCGTACTGACAGTGTGCATGCTTCAAAGCATCAGCATTCAGGCTCTGGGTCCAGGGTTTAGGGCCAAGGTCTTAAGGCGTCGGGTCAAAAAAGTCCTGTCTAACGGCGTAGAGTAGATAAATGCTGGAATTCCGGAGCGAAAGAGACATTCAGAGCTGTTGCAAGATTTGAAGAAACCACAGCCTAAACCCTAAGAACACGTAACTGGTATGCAGACATGCAGGCTGCCTAACCATAATCCCAGAGCCACACTAAGGACCCTGCACTGCAGATGCTCTTCAGCACAACTCAGCCTGTCTCTAACGAGAACAACAAAAGGACCCTAGTAAGGGATTATAATGCCATCCCCCTCAAGGTACCCCTCCAGGGCTTCA